AGTTTAGAAACGGAGAGCCTTGAGTACAAGGGAACAGCTGACCAATCGTCGGTTGTTCGATGGCCTCGGCGTTGTTGAATGAAGGACCTAGATAGAACTCATTGATTTCGACATTGGCTGGTGCAAGGAAGTTCGGAGTTATATATGGCCGAGTGAGAAGTTTCTGGAAGTCTTCAAAACTGAAGGAGTCACTAGACTGGGATTGTGAAGCAACTATTAGGAACGAAATAGAGTTTGTCAAAGTTTGCTTAAGAAATGTAGTAGAAAAGCAAGAAGATGAATAGTAATATTGCGAGAGAGAAGCGCGAAACAATGAGGCGTGATTTAGTGGTGTAATGAAATGACGTGTATTTAGGAATTATAAGGGTTTGCAAACGTCGTACCTTTTCAGGCTATGGAAGAAAACAATGATTGAAATTCTTGAAAATTTCGAATGTTGCTGGGAAACACAAAGTGAATATGGCAAAAATTAATAATTGGTATTAATTCTTCCATATTTTAGGGTAATTGTTGACACACAAAAAGTTCAGCCCAAATCGACTAGTCCAAGGAATGAAGCTCAATTGGAGGATCCCCAAATCAGATAGCCCAAAGAACGGCCCAATCAGGCAATTCAGGATAAAAGCCCAAATAGGGAAGTCCATGAGCGCGGTAATGCCATCGTCCAACCTTGCAAGTCGCCCAATATTTGAGCGAATAGATTACCATGTAGTCGCCCAGAGCTGTGACCCTGTTCTCGTCCAAACTTTCGAGTCGCCCAGAATTTTAGCAAATATAAGATGTTATGGTTACCCAAAAGTGCGGTTAATGAAGCAGTTATTGAGTAGCCCTATCACGTTCCACGTTTCAAAGAATTCAATTGAAAACGGTTGAACGACAAAAAATAATGGCAGCAGTTAGAGAATGCAGTTTCATGACAAGTTGGCCAGTACGAAAAAAGTGGGCAGTTATAGAGGGATCAAGTAGTTTTTAAGCGGTTGATCACGAAAATATCATCCAGGGAGTATAAAAGGAAGAAAAGATATAGAGCAAAAGACCACGAATCAAACACTCTCAAACAGAGAATATGTAACTTTCAATTTCTTAGTTTAAAATTTAAACACTTCTTTTCAGTAACTCGTGTGCTTGCGCCCCTTGGAGGCATTTTGTTTTATTTTTTCCAATTGTAAAGTCATCGCCAATAAAAACACCCCTTTTTGGGACTTTGTCTCAAGATGTTTGTCCCTTACACAATCGTTTGATCCCTTTTTAATTTTTAGCGACTAACCCGAGCGAAACAGTCATAAAATGTTTTTTTTTTTTAAATCTAGAAAAAATAGTTGAGCAAAACAAACACGCCTTTAATTTTCTCAGAAGGGAGGAGAAAAGGTTAAATACAAAAAGATAAGAAACATCTCACCAGTTTCCTTTTACTTGTAGAGTATGGTCCTCATTTAATATTATTTAATTAATATTAATTATGCCAGATCTTGGAACGCACGCAACCTCTCAAAAACTTGGCCGCCAAGAAAATTTTACGTAATTAACTATAACATCCTTGGACTTTCCAGATACTCTAAGAATTTGTTTCCAAAATTGCCCTCAAGTGCTTCTTTGACCAGTTATGGTGCATGCCTATTTGTGTCACGTTTATCAAATATAACCCTAAACCCTGATTATCTTTTCATATCCTTTTGCGTCAAAAAGAAATTATTATTTATTTTCTCACCCTAAATTAATCGCCAATCACTTTGTGTTATCATCAAGTATAATGAAATGGGTAATGCTATTTATAACAAAAATTATCTGTAGTCGTTATACATGACATACATACGATAATGTATTATTTGATATATTAATATGACAATTTTTTTATTGTCTTATGAATCAAATTATAAGCTGTCATGTGTATGTTACATATAACGATTGCCTGTAACCTTCCTTATATATAGCATTATTCTCTTTTACAATCTTTCACTACTCCTTTTCTTAACCTAAAATAAAAATATTTATATCTATGTATGAAGAGATGTTGGTTCTTTTTTTTTTTCTTTTTTTTTCACACGTGGTTAGTTTGACCATACACGGACCGCCTATTCGTGTTCAAGTACAAAATATGGCTATTCTTGTCATTTTACATCTCTATAGAATATACTATTCAATTAAAAAGGGTCAAAAATGGAAAATAAAAACTGTCCGAACATTAGGTCAAGATATACATGACACATCACCGCCTTTCTCTCCCGTTCATGCACGTGATATTCCTTTAGTACCCCTCTATAAAAATCCCACCCCGCCGTAACGTGTTGCATTATAGACCTTGTTCAAAACTTTCTTTCCAAGATTCTTATAAAACTTGAATTTCTCTACCATTTTCATTGATCCTGTTTCTTTGATTATAATCTTCTGAAGAACAAAGATGATGATAAGAAGCACGACCAGGGTAGCACGGGCCGTGTTATGCCACATGGGCCCACGTTATTTTTCGACAACCGCCTTGCATGGCTGTGTAGCAAGTGATGTGCAAGCAATTAGGGGTGTTTTTCGCGGCACAACCACTTTCTTCCATGGCAATCTTGCCCAGAGTTCTGAAAAGGTGTTGGTAAGGTGCATGAGGTTGCCGGCGGTTGGTGGTGCGCGTAAGGCGAGCACTTTGGCCTTGGGTGACAAACAGCAGGAGGAAGAGAAGAAGGTGCAAGGAGGCGAAACTGGTGGTGCCGCCGCTGCCGGTGGGGGCAATAATAACAAGGGAATAGTGAGTTATTGGGGCGTGGAGCCTGCCAAGATTACTAAAGAGGATGGCTCTGAATGGAGGTGGAACTGCTTTAAGGTATGTAGGAAAAAAATTAAGAACTTCTATATTATTATTTTGGTTCATATTCAAATTTTATGAATTTATTTGATTTGGCCTTTTGAATTTAATGATTTATGAAGCCATGGGAGACCTACAAGGCTGATCTGTCTATAGATCTGAAGAAACACCATGCCCCTGTCACATTCTTAGACAAGGTGGCATATTGGACCGTCAAGTCTCTCAGATTTCCGACAGATATATTCTTTCAGGTATGTTATTATATTCTCTAGCTTGGTTTAATAAAAGAACAGATTTTTTTCAGATTATGATAAGTTGTTGAAACGAACAGTTGAAAAGTTGATAATAATTATGAGTTTCATGCGTGTTGAAAATGAATTCGACGACAAAAAAAAAAGAAAAGAAAAAGAGTTTCAATAAATAGTAGGGTTAATGTTCTTGGATTCAAGTTTTTTAATGAAAAGAATGAATTTCTATATTCTTTAGGCTTTCCTTCCATCCTGTTTAGTTTAGCTAATTTTAGTCAAAACCTGGTAAAAATGTAAGTTAAAAGTTAATAATTAATTTTAACCATGAAATATGTGATCCACGACTCTTATCACTTTTCAACGATATATTTCATCAAATTTTTTAAAAATTTATTGAAAACCTAATTTTTAATGCGAAAACTGAAACCAATCTCTATTTTGAACGTATGTAGTTACAAAAAGTTAAAAA